AAATTTTCGGGGGCCTCTAAATTTACGGGGCCCGGGGCTTTAGCCCCCTAGCCCCCTTGATCCGGCACTGGTATATATATTAATGAAAATATGTCATGGAAAAGTCACATAAAATATTTAAGTAAAATTTCAAAAAGCATAGGAATTTTATCCAAAGCAAGGAGTTTTTTAAATAAATATACATTACTTAAGCTATATTATTCGCTAATTCATTGTCACATAAACTATGCGAGCATTGCGTGGGGTAGTACTAATAAAAGTAAATTGGAACCTCTTTATCGTCAAAATAAACATATTGCACGCCTTATTAATTTTAAGGATCGATTTACTTATGCCAAAAATCTATTTATTAAAATGAAAGTTTTAAATATATATGAGTTTAATATTTTTTACGTTATATGCTTTACGTTTAAATGTAAAAACAATATTTCTCCTGTACCTTTTTATAATTTGTATAACAAAAAAGAAAAAACTAAATACTTCTTACGAAATAATAAGACATTCGTCAATTAGCTTATCAAACTAATTCTGGAAAATACTGTATTTCATTTCGAGGAGCATTACTTTGGAATAAAATAGTTTTAAAGAATTTTGACTTTTCTCAAGAGGTTAGCTATCACTCTTTCAAACAAACACTTAAAAAAGTCATTTTTTTTTATATAGATGATATATCTATAATCTTTTAATTCCTTTTTTTTTTAACTTTATGTTAAACACTGCATTAATAAAATTTATAATTTAACAATTTGTAAATAGTTGTTTAACACTTTTGTTAAAGGTATCTTAAACCTGTATAACGCATTTATAACGGAACCTTTTTCTTTTTTTCTTTAAATTTGTTTAGTTTTTAATTCTTAATTCTTATTTATTTGGTATCTTCAAGTATATTAAGTATATAAAGTTTATTTAATTATTCTGAATAAATTTTAAATTAAAAAATTTTATTATTACGAAATGTTAACACGTAAACTTTTTAGCGGTTCTCGTCGACAAGACCTTACGGTCTTCTACGAGTTCCCGCGTTCTTTTTTTCTTAATAACGATCATGTATATATAAATACATATATATATATATATATATATATATATATATATATATATATATATATATATATATATATATATATATATATATTTATATAATGTATATATATATAATGTATATATATATATATATATATATGTACATATATATATATATACATATATATATATATATATATATATATAAATATATATATATATAAATACATATATATATATATATATATATATATATATATATATATATATATATATATATATATATATGTATTTATATATATATATATTTATATATATATATTATATATATATATATATATATATATATATATATATATATATATGTATATATATATATATGTACATATATATATATATATATATATATATATATATATATATACATTATATATATATACATTATATAAATATATATATATATATATATATATATATATATATATATATATATATATATATATATATATATATATATATATATATATATATATATATATATATATATAGGCCCGCCCAGAGCTTTTGTGATGCCCGGGTCCAAAAGTTTTATGGATGCCCTATCATACTTCAGGTCTTAAAATAGCAAATAAATTAATATAGTTTACTTTCATAAAAAACCTAAAATCACATTTAATATTGGTTTACAAGAACAAACTATGATAAAATCAATTCTTAATTGACAAACACATCTTCCGGGCCTTCTTAGCAGCAAAATTTGAAATAACTTCTTCATAATTAACGCTAATGGCAAAATCTGATTCGATTGAAAGGATCATCAAGTAGCACAATCGCTCCTGGCCCATTGTGGAACGAAGATAATCTTTAATGATAGCTAACTTGCTGAAAGATCTTTCTCCTTCAGATGTTGAAACGGGCAATGTTAGAAAGATTCTAAGAGAAACACGCACTTGCGGAAATATTGAATGCAGCCCCTTTGCATAAACTTCATTTAGAAGTTCGACAGGCTTTTCGCGGGCTAGAATATTTCTTCTTTCGGAAAAAAAATGCCGAACTTCATCAGAAAATTCTTTTTTACATAAGTCTTCTGGGTTAAGTTTAGCCAGATTCTCAGCTTTTAAACTTAGTTCTTGGTCTGTTTGAGATTTCTGTAAAGACCAAAGGAAGGAAAACTTGCTACATTCCTCTTCTATTACTTTAAATCTTGATCTCATTTGACTAGTCAGATTGTCGAGTGCAACATTGAAGACATTACACTCAAAGTTTTTCGATGCTTCTTCGTGGTTATAACCAACAGTTTCATCTGAGATGATCTTTTTTCGCGTTTTCTTCACAGTAAACATTATTTTATCAAATTTCAAGTTCTTTGCAACTTCTGTTGCCTCCATCGAAATCAGGTCCCAAGACAGACGGATTCGATCCAGATCCATCAAAAGGCCATTTAGAATCTTTACTTCATCATCGAGAGTGAGTTGAGTGGATTGAAGCAGAAGACTCACGTTGTTAACTGCCATCAAACATTTAAACCAAAAAGTAGTGAAAACAACAAATTCAAAAGAATTCATCCATTTAATGAGATAATGCACTTCATGACTACTTTCGCCTGGAAGGTCTAACTCTTTTAGACGATGTAATGATTTCAAGATCTCTCTTGGCTTTTTTGCTAGTGGCTTAACTGATTCAATCCTTGAACTCCATCGTGTAACAGAAAGTTTATGTAATGATTGGCCTGTCTCCTCCTGAAGAATTTTCCAACGAACTGGGCTGCTGCTGAACAGATTGTATAGCTTTTGAATATTTCCAAAATAGGATTTTGCAGGAGCCGATGATTCAATAGCGTGTACTGCACATAAGTTCAAACTGTGATCAGAGCAAGGAATTAAAATTACTTGTGGATTATTCTTTCTTATCAAAGCTTGAACTCCATTGTAAATACCTGCCATATTAGCGCCGTTGTCGTAGCCTAGACCACGACAATTTTTTATGTCGAGCTCATTCTCTTCCAACACATTCAATATCAACTTTGTTACATCAGATCCCTTCTTCTTTTCAAGTTCTTCTAGCTTAAGGAATCTTTCTTTGATCTCCCACAGCTGATTATCATTGAAATGCAAAAAACGAAAAACAAAAGTTATTTGCTCGCTGTGGGACGAATCGGGAGTGCTGTCCGTGATGATGGTGAAATATATTGATTTTTTGATTTCTCGAATAACTTCTCGAACCACTAATTTGCGCATTCCTTGATAAATTCATTTTGTGATTTCTAAGATAAATAATGAGCTTGCATGCGTTTTTCTTCTTCTTGGTGCTTAGCAATAAGATGCATATGATCTTGTAATGTTTTGTTGTGGCGAGCAATTAATTCGAGCGCTCCAAGGAAGTTTCCATTCCCGTTTTTGAACAACTTTTGATTGGATATTAATTACAAACAAAAAATAATCAAAATAGTAATCCATATTTATATCCATTTAAAACTTGTAATTTTGATTTTTAAATTACAATTAAAATAATGCAAAATATAATTTAAAATTTAAAAACAATATTCTTACCCCTAAAGGCTAAGTTTCTTGAAGCTAGAAAAATTGTGACGTCAAGAATGCATTGTAAAATTACTTTCCATCGCTTTGTTTCTTCTCCAATTTGTTTTTCTAACTGATGCTCAATGGACTTTTGACTTTTCAAGTGAATCGTAGCTGTTTTCCATTGGAGATAACAGTTACGGTGAAAATCGCTTTGTTGATGACTTTTAAGGCGAACTGAAAGTTTTCTCCAATTTCCATGTATACCTCCATTCCAAGACGACAAACTGGATTGAACACCGGGTCTGGTTAAGTTAGGCGATCCAAAAAGGGAGCAAGGGAAACAAAAGAGTGATGCCACAGCCTTACTCCAAACGAGCCAGATACACTATCCTCGCGCAACATAGCACTATTAATACTCTGATATTTTATTTTATTTACATTTTATTTTAACAGGAAGAGTTGCACTATAAGTCTAAGGCCTTTCTTGATTATAAATTACGCAAAATACTTTACTTCAGCCTTGTTCATTATCATTTCTCCTAGACTAATATTATTTGCTAACACATACAAAACTAATTAATAAAATTATAGAGCCTACAAAACCACGCGTGTAAAGCAGTTAACTATTTTAGGAGGTTAGAAAACCCTTCTCCTGTAATGAAATACATGCCCTAAATATATCAAAACTTATTTGACTTTAAATATTAGTATTTATGAATAAATGTAGGAATAAAAGCCGCCAAAAGTATTTTCTGATATTTTTACATCAATTTTTTTCATAAAAATACAATCTTCGGTCAAATACCAACCATAACTATCACTTGAGCAGAGTAAAATCACAAGTGTAAAAATTCTCAATTATTAGACAAGGCCCGTCATTATGGAATCAATTGAAAAATAACAATATCAAAAACTTGAAAAGCACTTTTTCTTTTAAACGACAAATTAAATTGCATCTCCTTAATTTCTGACATATATGTGACAAGTATGTTTGTATATGTATGTGTTTATGTGTATATGTATATATGAGTATATATCCATATATGAGTTTTTATTCGTCACGTAGTATTTTTCAGAAAAAATATTTTATTGTAAATTTACTAAAGCTATGTGAGCTTTAAATGTTATTGTAAAGGGCCCGATGAAAAGATTGTGGTGACACCAGTAATCGGTACCTTCTTTGAGTCCCTGTCTGTTTTATATAATTGTCGAATTGCGCCTTTCCGCCCATTTCAAGCTTAAATACAATTAAAGTTTTTTTTTCAGAATATGAACGTAAAAAAATGCTGTAAAATTCTTAAACCTAATAAACGCAAAAACATGTTTTACAACTCATTTGGAAACATTATATGTTTTTATTGTTGGAACTGAATCGTTTGGTAGAATTGGAGGTATTACATTTAGAATGTTTTGTTAATCTATAAATACATTTCTATTAACTTTAATAGCTGTACTGGCAAGAATATTACATTCGTAAATATTTGTAGATGAAAGTTTTTTTTTTTAATTTACAAAAACCTTTTAAAAATCAAATAAAAGTGCTTCCATATTTTTGATGTATCTAAGTCTACCTAAACATGCTCGTGCGTAAAACTTAATTTGAATCTCCCAAACCTAAAATAAAAAATTCAATTAATTATACTTTATATCTTGACAAAAGTTTATAAAGGTTATTTGTGTTTACATAAGTTTAGCCCATGTTTTATCTGACCCTGAAAGAAACAGTTCTAGCATATCGGAACCGGTATCAAATACGGTGACGTATAGGTGCATATGAACAAAGTTACCTAAGTAGCCGTAGTCGTCAAATATACTACAAATAAATGTTTAAAGAAGCTTGGTTTTAATAGTTCTAGAAAAGTTATTCAACAGTTGTTCGAATTTTTTGTACAATTATTGTTGCGGAAATTAGTTTATTTCTATTTCTGCAAACTTTAATTTAAAACATAAGTTTTGTAGTACAACCACCGCCGTTAAGTTGAAAATGCTAAAAAAAGTTTCTATTATAAAACTTATTGCTGTTTATGACTTTTCTACAACTATTGGAAAACAAACTTAGGTCTAATAGATCGTGGTTACGTTTATGAAAATATAACTCATAGGTACGTTTCTATGTTGCACATTTGCGAAACTTATCAGTACTATTAAGTAATATATTATTGAAAATAAAAAGCGTATTTTAATATACATTTATAGTTTTTTATATTATAAAATTATTTTTTAGTTTTTAAGTATTTAAAAGAAAATATTACACAACAGCTCAAGAGCGATTTTGAAGATGAATGAAGAAGCGCCTTTATAGAAAAACGCACTTCAATTTGCGTTATGAAAGTAAATGTTGGAAAGTTTAATTGAAACAGTCGCTGTGGTGCTGTCTAAATTTTATTTACCAATAAATAATTCATAACTAAAATTTTAAGTTAATAAGTAATGAGTAAAATCTTTTATGGACTAAACGTACTTGTTCACGTGACCTACGACGCGCCAATTCTGGTTACTCAAGTATTAAAACAATTTATCACAATTCATCGCAACATTTTAACATCATCTTCATTGTCTAAATAATAAATCAAATCATAATAAAAAAGAACTAATTTAATAATATAATAAAACAATTTATAATTCATCAAATTTCACAAACGACTATAATGTATTTAAACAGCACAAAAGGTCGTTGTTTATCAAATATTACAATACGGTACAATTCTTCATATAGTACAAAAAATAAAGATTTATCTTATATAAGCTGCAATTTATCAAATATTACACACAGTTCACTTAATTTCATTCAATGTACAAGTAAACTAATAGATGTCGTTTATGAAAAAAGCTAATTTAAAAGCATTATCTCGCGGAAAACGTTATCTTTACCTAAGTAACTATGAATAGGATTATTCTATTATGGTGCTGCAGCCAGTCAGTCTCCATGTTTATAAGGTATTCAGTTTTTTTTTTGTAAAATGTTTTCGAAAGAGTGATTTAATACGCAAAATAAATAATAAAAACGATGTTTTGTAAGAATAATATAACTTTAACTACTTAGCCTTAAAAAGATATCTACGTCTACTAGTTACGTCATGCCACGTAGTCTCTCAGCTTAATTATTAACATAAATTATTTCATTGGAAAACCAACGAGAAGGAGGAGGGGGATTGAGAGAGTTAAAAAAGACAATAAAGTTTCTGACATTAGCTTAAATCATCGGAATACTATAAAATAAGCTCAAAGTTTAGCACCTGAGAACTATTTGCGTCAGCTAGTTTTTTTTTTCTCTGAACTTTTACAAGATTTTTTTTTTATAATAGGATTATCTTTTTATTATATAGTAGCAGTTGAGAGGATACATTGATCTAAATATAGATTGAAGAAGTATACTTTATAAACCTAATATCCACAATCTTTAAACTGTAATTCTATGCAGATTAAATAGATACTATCTAGTATTCAGCATAAAAGAGATGTCTTGAACAAAATGAGGAAAATTTAAGAAGGAAATATTTATTATACATAACTCATGTAAAGCGATTTGCTGAAGTTGTATTACTACAATAGCAAATGCATTCTCAGTGGGTAATTCAGCGAAGAATATACTCAATAAGAAATCATTTTTGTTAGCAGAACTCAAATATACTTCTTTCGTGTACAAATATTGTATTAGACCAAGTTGGAAGAAATCTTTATCAGATTGTTTAATTACTTTTCACGGTAGGTATTTATACGTTTTTCTTTCAAAAGTAGTATTACTACATCTGTTGAGCCTAAATGCAATTCTCATTAAAAAAAGACAAAAATAAAAACTACAATATTTAACAACTTTTTTTATATCTTACATTACCAGTTACTTCAAAGGTGAGTTTGAGAAAAAACGTTTCCGATTTAGTCTCAATTGTTTTGAGACACGCAAATCAGTTAAAGTAAATTAAAGTTAATTTATTAAAACGACCGATGTGGTATGGCTTTAATAAAATAATTTTACTTAAATCGTTAATACGTTCTGCGATTTAATTACTCGATAAATTTTAAAACTAAACTTAAAAAAATTGAATTGAAAAAAGTTTTTTTATTATTATCAAAAAGTATTTTTTATTTATAGTAATAGCGAATTATTACGTTTATAAACTTAAAATTGATGCTGAACGTTTTTATTATTTACGATAAAAGAAATAAGATTGAAGACCTTTTCATTAAAAAAAAGTTATTACTTTAATTATTACACTTATAATACGTTTGAACAACAGTTTAAGTATGGTATCCGTATTCCAATCTTCCTTAGAATGAAAATCCGGAAATTCTTTAAAGCAATTGGAACCCAATTGATTGATAATATACACAAAGCATAATATAATAAACTTTTCAAAAGTAATTTATCAAATGCTGAATTCTATTTATTTATCAAGTACTGAATTTAGTTTATCTATTTATTCTATAATTACTTAAAATATCTAAAGCATGTATATGAAAATGAATTTTTTTTTCTATTTTTTTTTCTTTTTTTCTTTTGGATTTAAAGTTCCAGGGCCGACAACACGTGTTTCGAAGTGGTGGTGAAAAAAATCTCGTAAATACGCGCCGCCCTGGCCACCGGTGTCGTCGGCCCTGAATTCATACAGATGTTTTAATACAAATTATTGTTACTTTTTTTGTTGTCTCAGTAAAAAATTCTAAAATAAAGTTAATAGTAAGTAAATCCAGTGAGATGTGTTTGTTGCCATGATTTATGGAGTTTGCAGTACAAAATTCAATAAATCAAACACAGAGCAAATAATAAGCATTTTCAATATATCATGTAGTCTATTAATCAAAAATCAAACTGAAGGTATTGGTACTTTTACTGTCTTTTAAGGTACTCCAAGAAGAAATAATCCACCGCCAAATATTCAACGATAAGTTTTCCAGCTTCCATCAACACCATAGTTGCTTTTACAGCCAGAGCATGCATTGAAACACAAGCCTTTTGATTCTAAAGTCAGTATTCTAACCACAACTCTACGGCTGCTTTTATTAAATGATATGATAAAAATACAACCGAATACTAACGACATATTATCCGAAAGATTTTTTTTTGTTTCTTTAAGTACCACCATAGCAACAATGTATGATTCCATTCCTTGGCAGTTATAGACAGAAATAATGAGTTAATAACAAAATACAAATTAAGGACATCTAATTTACTACTTTATTTTGTTTCACAAACTTTTTTTAAACGTTTTTTCAAACTTTATTTTATTCGTTTTTCGCTAGTTTTTATTGCACAGCAAGTAACTTATTTTAATACAAAACCCTAAAGTCATTGGTTTTTTGTATAATTTTTGAAGTTGTATTTAAAAGAACATAAAAGTGATCCATGTTATACCTAACTTTTTGAGAATTTTTTTTGTTTACATAAAACATATCATGTATAAAAGTGAGTTTAGCTGTTATCTAACAAATTTCAGTGTCTTTATTTTGTAGGGATCTGGCACTTTTTGTTTCTACAATTTCATAAAACCATTTATTTTTGAACTTTTAAATTAAATAAACTGGTATCAAAATAAGTGAACACAAGAATCAAAGTTTAAAAAAAATCTGCAAATTTATTAACAACTTACAATAAGAGTTACATGAATCCAGCAAAGTAATCTAAAAATGGGGTAAAAAAATAAAAGTAAAATGCCTGTAACTCATTTAAAAATACCTTGTCAGTAGTATGATTACAAAAAAACTCATTCATTATACTACAAAAAAATATTTTATAATTTTTTTTTTCATTAGTTTAAATAGGTTTTTTGAAAATCTTTAACCATAAAACAAAACATTTATAGTAAACTGAAATAAGTTACTTAGCAAGTTCCATAACCATTCCATTTGATGTGAATACCATAAAGTATAAGAAAAATGTTAGCATTGGTGGAGGAGAAGACTAGGAGACTACAATGTTGAAACTTTATTTAAACAGAGAGCCCGGATACGTTATAACTACTTTTTTTTTTTTTTTTTTTTTTTGCAAAATGAACAAAAATAAACTTTTTAGGCTCGGAAAATCAATAAAAAAAATTAATAAACTTGTAACGTAGGTTGAGTTACTAAAAAAGAAAATGTTTAGAAATCTTGTATTTAAAATTTTACAATTGTTTTTAATATGATTTGCATGATTACAAAACAATTTCCAATTTAAATTGAAGAGGATCAGAGCTCAAACTTTGGCTCGGATATTCTTTCGTATTTGAAAACTTTTTTTGATACTGTTACGTCCTAGAAAACAAACAATATCTCACCTCATATCATTAAATAATTAACTATGAAATCACATGAAAGGCCTGGACTTTCAACCTGTGGTTGCTCAGTGACGTTCAATGTGAGTTTATTTATTTTTACTTTTTTTTAAATATAATGTGACTCTTATTTATAAAACATTAGTTTGGGGAGTTAGAGAAAGATTAAATAAAATTTTTCAGGAATAAATTTTTACAACAAGAAAAAAACACAGATGGTATACAGAAGTTTACTATTATATTTTTTTAACTTTACCCAAAAATATATTGGAAATTGATCTCAATGGACCATGCCAGAATTCTATGAGTATATTTAGGGAAAAATAAAAACTACGTTGGAATAAATTATCAGATTAGTTGGAATAAATTATCAGATTAGTACACGACCTTTATTTATTGATTTTTACTTTTAGGAAAACTTTTTTTAGTTTAAACATTTATTATTTAATTTGTTGATATATTTAAAAAATAAAATTTACTTCTTATAAAAATTATAAATTGAAGTTTATTTACTTGTGATTAAAATTGTGCTTTATTTATTTGTTATTAAAATTGGAATTAATCTATTAACTAATAATTAGTTATTATTAAAGAAAGTATTGTCATAAAAAAAAAATGTTTGCTCAAAATGATCTTTAATTTTTTATTTATATTTGCATTCCATTGCTTGCATTAGCACTCACAACACTCGACAAACATTACTTTTATTTGTTTATTTCCTTGCTACTCGCAACACCTGATTAAAATTATCTTTAATTAAATGTTTATTTGCTTAGTACTCACAACACTCGATAAACATCTTTACTTTAGGCAGCACGCTGTCGAAAATTTTTTTGTGTTTTGTCAAATAATTAAAATATCGACATGTTTAAACTTGTACCATACATCAAAATATCAACACGTTTAAACTTATTGAAATAATAATCTCATACTTTATATTAATTTAAAGTGTATATATTGTGTATTTTACTTTGTGCCCCAATTTTTTTTATTACCTAACGTTGAAGATTGAGCGATAATTTACGATAGCGGTGTTGTAAAACTTTTAAATTTTTACGATAACGGTAAAGTTATGCAATACGTCATTTTTTCTAAAATAAATCTCTATTGTAAACCGTAATGACATATCCATTCAAATAACTTTAACTGTTTTACGAGGTTTGTCATTAATTTATATTTTTATTACAATATTGCTCAACGTTTATATAAGGGTTTTAATGTATAAATATATATAATATATTTTCTGTAATTCTCCAAATACCAGAAAAACATTTTTTAATTCAAATTGAATAGCTTCAAAAGTGTGTTTCTTATCAGAAATATTCGACTTTTTCGACAAAAGAAATTCTTTTAAAAAGCATTCATTTTAAACCGGCCGATTTTTCAGTTGTTGTTTTATAACCACGCTATTAATCTATATTTAAGCTTTATTTCGATGGTTTTTGTTAGTAATTATATTTAATGATGCTTAATCGGTTGTGTGTCGTAATGTCAAAAACGTTCTTATAATTAAATATCGATTTTTGATTCTCCTATGTTATTCATGCATTCCGTGCTTTTTTCCTACAATAAAATAATTCTGAATAAAGTATTAACGTTCAATACTGTAAGTACTAAACTCGTTTGCATAAATATTGAATTTTATACTTCTTCTTAGTAATTTTAACTACGTTGAAAGGAATTTTATGAGTGACAGACTCACTCCTGAAAAAATACTCCGGTGCCGGGCGTCAGACAATATTTATATCTATTAATGTAGATTTTTTTATCATAGTTGTGTGATTATGTCCATCCTTTTTCATTATTAGTTTTATTAAAAAATTATTCGAGTTCACAATGTAGCGTTTAATAATCTGAAGGAAATAATTATCTAATTTAAGAAAAATCTTTTTTTCTAATTTTTAATATATTTATTTAGATATAAAAATTTAAAGTATAAAGAAGATTTATAAACGAAATAACGAAATTTATAACAGAGATATACGATGTTGGTGAACCTATTTTTTCTCTCTGCGATTATGTGTCTAATGAAAACTTCATTTCAAAATGATGAAACGACTATTCAAATAAATAAACCAGAAGTTTTATTGGATCCATCTTTGCAAGATAGGACAAAAAGCAAACTAAAAATATCTATAAAAAATGATTTACTTTATAAAAACATTACAACACCTTCATACACTACCACGGTATTTCTCTATTCAAAGCTTGGATATTATTTAACAATAAACGAAAGTGGAAACATTATGGGAACACTGGATACTAAATCACGTGATAGTAAGTTTTTTTTAAGACGATGCTATGTCACTGTTACTACTTTACATTTATTTAACTGTGTAATTGAAAATAGTAGAAACAAACAGTAATAATACTAAGTAGACACGTTTAAATGCGTACACTTTTTTTAGCCCCAAAACCACTCACGTTCACCGAATTCACAAACGTTCAAAATTTTTAAAAACTTAACACCCTCATAATCTAACTTCTAATTTTTCTTTGAGAAGTTGTTTTTTTTTTCATTAAAACATCAAAATGGCTATTACCTTATATCTTCTTGAAAAATAACTAATTTCCTCGCTATCGTATATTTCTAAAAAAACTCAACACCCAATTATAATGAATACTTTAAATAACATCCTTACCAATAAAAAAAGTTAAACAAGGGCGGTTTTGTTATAGGTGACAAATATTGTTCACTAAAAACCCATGTCCAATTAACTTTTCTTCGTCTACGCAAAACTGATCAATTTAGCATATTTTTAACAATAGGACTGGGAACAATTCATAATTTTTAATACTGCAAAATTTGAAAATTATTATTTTTTAACTAAATTATGAATTTAGTATTATATATATATATATATATATATATATATATATATATATATATATATATATATATATATATATATATTCTTAGTTTTTGCGTTTGCATAACGTGCTTTTTTTTACTATATTATAACTTTAACTTATAACAAAAATTCGCTGTTTTATGTAAAAGTGAATAGTGGACGAAGTAGACGTATACTGGTGTGGCGTGTATGTAGGAAAAAGTTGTAAAAAGGAGCAGACACACAATAGTGCGTCGTGTAGGAGTAAATAGTGGAGAGTAGCAGAGGTATTATGGTGTGTTGTGTATGTAGGAATCAGTAGTGAAGAGAGAGCATACATACACTTGTGTGAAGTAAGTAAATATATGCATAATGAGGTACAACTATTTTAGAAGTGTTAAGACTTTTTTGTTTTATAATTTTTGAATCAATAACTAAATATTTTATTCTTCGAAGATTTGGAAAATCTTTGCATAATTTTTTTTTCCTTTCTTTTTTTTTACTTTCAATTTCAGATTCTATATCAGTACAAATTAATAACAGATCAAATCTAACTATGTTAAAATGAATAAAAAAATTGTTCATCATCTTTATTTACGATTACAAAAATTATTGAGATTCATAAAATACTTTGCCAAATAATTCGTTTTTTTTTATATTTCTCAAAACATCTAAAATGTGACATAACTCCTTTTAAAAAAACGCTCCTCAATTGATAATATTTTAGAAAAACATTTATCTAATGTTATTGAATTCCAGGTTAATCTTATTAATGAGAAATACTATTAATCTAATAAAAAAAATAATGACATTATATTTAAATTTGCTCACGCGGTAGACAAAAATACCCGCCTTAATAATCGTGCATTAATCAATAGACGCTAGATCCAAGTTTTGGATTAAGAGAAAAATATTCACTCATTTTATGGAATGCAAAGTTTAAGATAATATAATTGATTTTTTTTTAAATTTTGAAATGGTAGAAAAGCATTTTTTTTTATAGCAGTAATATTTAAAGATGCATTTACACATTCAAGTGGAAACACTCAAATGGAAACCGTAATGTGATATCATAACGTAACGTGGCATCAAGAAGGATAAATATAGTTTAAATAATAATTAAAAAAAAAAAAGAAATTGTTTAAAATTTTTTGTTTTAAAAACTTTAAAAAATAATTTTTTCCATAATTATAAGCCCAAAAATTCAAGATCACTATAAATAGTTGTATAAACATTCATATAAATAGTTGTTTAAATACGCTATAAATAGCTGTATAAATATTTGTATATAAATAGTTGTTTAAATTAACTATAAATAGCTGTATAAACATTCATATAAATAGTTGTTTAGATATACTATAAACAGTTGTATAAACATTCCTTTAAACAGTTGTATAAACATTTACATAAATTTTAATTGTTTGATAAATGTCACTATATATAGTAAATAATTTTAAATAATATTGCATCTTTATTTGACATATAAGTATAAACAAATGTTTTGCATTTTGGTCTTTGTCTTTAATTTAAATTACGTCACGCATTTTTTGACAGATTTTGACCCCCCTCCCCCTCATCACAAAATCGTAACACTTAAGAAGCAAGTTTTGTATGAGTCGTCACAAAACTGCCAACCCCTCCCTCCCCCTTATAGCGTGACGTAATTTATGGACGACCCCTTAGCTATCTTATAACTTAAAAAACAGCGCATCTTACATGTTTGTATGTATGTATGTATGTTTGTATGTATGTATGTATGTATGTATGTATGTATGTATGTATGTATGTATGTATGTATGTATGTATGTATGTATGTATGTATGTATGAATATACATACATACATACGTTTTTACTATTTTCAACTAAAGGGTCGTTCACAAATTGCGTCACACAGTTTTTAACCGTTTTTGTGAGTTGTCACAAAACCACTAAGCCCTCCCTCTCAAAGCGTAACATAATTTATGGACGACCCCTAAGTATATATTCATTGATTTCCATTTTCATGCAATAATTTCTTAACGTTTAAAAAGCATGACCATATAAATTTTGTGAATCCCCAAAGTGAAATAGAAAAAATACTTTCTTTAAGTATTAATTTTTTTAAATTAACACTTTATTAATTTTTAGTTTTTTTTGAAGTCGAGTCATACGGAGTGTATTTCAAAAGGTTTCGAAAACCAAACTCATGGTATATAGCTATTGACAAACTTGGAATTATAAAAACAAGGGTAATTGAGAATTTTAAATCTTATTTGTTTTATTTTTTTTTTAGCTGCTAAACTGTTAACCGACTGATTTTACTAACCGTTAACCAATCAACAACAAATAACCGTTAATTTTAAATAAACCGTTAATTTTAAATAAACCGTTAATAAACCTTCTAATTGTTAAGATATTAGTATTATACTTTCATAGTTTATATCATATTTTTAGAAACAAGGAAGAAAAGATACATTATTTCGGGTCATGTATAACGATGCAGGCTGGGCTTATTTTCAAAATGATGCAACAGGTTTTGTGCTTGGTTTGCAACAAAACGGAAAACCAAAAAATAAAATAGCTAACGTCACATTACGGAATCGAAAGAAAACTCATTTTCTAATTCTAACACGACCAGTGCTCCAACCATTATCAACAATTCGTTGATGATTTTCTAAACCTTTTTTCTGTATAATATAGAGTAATCAACAAAAATATTTTTTTAAATCAATCAATAAAATTGTAAATATACATTTCTTTTATTTATCAAATAAAATTTGATTTTTCTTTTGAATATATGAATTTACTTTATTTAAATATTTTTGTTTATATGATTATTTAAAAAAAGTTAAAGAATCAATCTAAATATTTAAAATTTACTTAGATTTAAGTAAACTTTTATGAGATTAAATTTATATTAAATATTGACTTGATAAAAAATTGTAAAAAAGTAAAAATTATTGAGCCTTGCAAAGTCAATATAGATGTGACGATAAACTTATATAAAATAAATTCTTTAAATCATTGTTAATATTTTTCCAAAGTATTTTTTTTAATTAAGTTTTAGTTCCCGCTCCATTTTTATTTACACAACATTTCATCATGTCTACATCACTTTAATATCAAGAGGTTTAAAACTATTTTTACGTTAGAAGGTTTTTGTGTAAAAAGTATGAATTATTACAAATATATTCATTATTTTTACGTTTTTAATTAAGAAATATAAACTGCTACAAATAATACACTACTTTACTGAAGAAAAATTAAAATTTACTAAATTTTTTTTCGATCATACAAATTTTAAAAAAGCATAGATGTAAAATACATTTACTTATTTTAATATAAATTGTTACTATTTTACAGTAAACGAACTTAAAAGTATTATGTACAGAATAGGTAAAACCGTGAAATTAAAAACGCTTTAAAATGCTTAAGGATTATAAAACAATAAAGAATGACCCATTCATTTTTGTTGTTACACTTAACTAACGTTTTTTCAATTGACGATTTAAGTGATTGATATAAAAATGCGTTTCATATAAAAGTTTCATTACAAATTAAATCTAAACCATAGTGTTATTTATCTTTAGAAATCAATTTTCGTTGGAAATTTTCTCTTCGGAAATCAATTTTCTTTATAACAAAATCTCAATCGTAATTTTCTAAGTTATCGAATGATATTTTGCTTTAAGAGTAATAAGACATTCTTTTTGCCTTTGCTATTTGTATTTGTATTATGTTTTACGGTTTAAATAAACTTAAATAGGAAAAAAAAATATCTTTAGAAATCTATTTTCTTTATAACAAAATCTAAATTTTCTAAGTTATTGGATGACTAAGCTTTACTAAGAAAAAATATGAAATGAAATAATTTTGATTCTTTATTGAGAACTTAGTCTGATAATTTAAAATGATGATAAAATACTCCAAATAATAATAACAATATTAATAATAATAAAACAACTACAAGAAAGCTACCGTTGTTCAAGATAATGTCGGGGCAAGAGAATGGTTAATGCTGAATAATAGAGTACATATAAACAAAATAAATATTTATACTTAACATATAAAGCAAAGGTACATCATAAAAAAAAATCTAAAAAACATTACAATTAATAACTAGCAAAAATTTGTATTTTTGTATGCTCGTTATATGCATGTAATGCGTTTACTGTAATTAAATATTAAATAAATAAATAAAATTTGCATATAATGTATTCATTATTATTAAATATTATTTTATATGATTGTTATTTGCATGCAACGTATTTTAAACCTAGTACAAAAAGTAAATGCTAAAATTTCATACAAATAACAAGCATAAAAAAAATACAAGTTGCTTCTACATATTAATTTGAAATATTATTTATATATAAAAAAAATATATTTTCTGTTTATTCTAAATTCTAGTTTTATTAGTGCCATTCAATTTAAATGAGTATGTAAATTTAAATGAGTCTTAAAGTAGAATTTAGGTTTACCATTGTCAATTTAGGTTTACCGTTGTCAAAAATTGCTTTTAATACCATGTCACGCAAAATAACGTGCAGGCTATAAAAGCTGATTGCGTTGTCGGTCAAGATTTAATTAAATTAGACCAAAGGTCAGTTGAACATATTTGAGCTTACCAATAAATCTTCTTTTTTCAAAAATCCGTTATTCTCGCTTTATTTTCTGAACTTGGTGTCGAAACATTTATAATTGTTATAATTATTTATTATAATTATTTATAATATATTATAATCGTTATAATTATTTATGATCGTTTAACATTTATAATCATTTAAAAAGTGCAAGCAAACACTATTAGAATTAGAAGTTGCTAAAAGAGCAAAAATGAAATTATAGAGCAAGATAACAATTAACAGACAACTTAAAAGATTGCAAATTATATAAATCAAGAAAATAAGATGAAGGGAGCAAATTCTAAAAAACTGATGTTCAAAGAAAAAAAATAAACGAATAAAAATAATAAGAATTTTTGGAGCACTTAGGAGCCGTCACAGTAAAAGGATGAGACTTAATTGAATGATGAGTAACACGAGAATGAGTTTTCGTAAATGGCACAAGAGTCTTTAGAGTAGCACTCGTTATAATATTTATAGAAAAGAGAAAGAGAAGCAACATTACGACTATGCGACAATGGTTAAATGTTGGCTGCGAGAGCAAGTCTAATTATGTTTACAATTCGTTTTTGCACCTTGTCTAAAAGAGAAAGGATATCATTCAAAGAACTGCCCCAGGTGCGGCAACAGTAATCCATTAAGGGCGAAATTGAGAATTATAAAAATAAAGAATAGAATCCGGAATAAGGAAATGGCGAGCATAATAAAAAGATACAAACTTAGCAGATGCTAATTTTGCAAAGGATTTTATATATGGTTTCCAAGAAAGATTGGAATTAAGAGTTAATCCTAGAAGACGAAGGGTAGATGGCTCATCATTTACATTACCGTTCATAAATATAGGATTATCTAAATTGTTGAGATCTATTTACAATTAACTAAAAAAAATTATATCTGAGTTAAAGTTCACCAGCCGCTAAAAGTTCCATACTGTAGCAGAAGTGAGATCCTTTTGATGTTCAAATCCCCCTCCAAGCAATTAGAGAGCGTTGGCTTCTTATCAAGACAAGTATTAAACGTAGCAATATTAATGAATGACTCAAAACCTAGCAAATACTGTTTTAGTGGTTTTGTAGCGGACCTATATAGGCATTTTTTTGCGGCTCATTGGTAACTTAGAAGACCATTAGTGGCAGTCGCTATAAATGGCAAACTAATAACATTTTGACATGATAATTGTGGCTAGTAATTGGCTACAAGCTTTTGGCGGCTGCTACTAGTGGTCCACTAATTAACCGATAAGCAAAACTACAGTGGCCCTGAACAAAATGCCTATATAGTTCCACTGAAATTCCGCTATAGAATATTTGCTGGGTTGCTTTTATAGTAGGGAGGCTAATGGGACAGTAGTTAGACGAATCAAATTTCTCTCCAGAATTTTTGAAAATTGGAATAACAGCAGGCTGGAAAAAAAGACTTTGATAAGCACTTGTTAAATAGATTTGAAAGTATAGTCAACCACTACGGAGAACATTTCTGCAAGACTATAACAGGTATGTTCTCCGGATCACAAACTGTAGAAGAATTTGAGAAAGAAATCACTTTAGATACAGAAGCTGGAGTGATATCAATATTAGGCAATCAATTAACCATTTTGTTGACTATATCAGGTAAGATGTGATTATTGGAATCAAGAGATGAAATTGATGAAATGTTCTTAGCAAACAATTCAGTTTGTCTTCAGACAAGGTAAAAAAATCTAAACCACGCAAAAGAGGATGAATAACAGATTTCCCCTTATTATAGACACTTTTAAAAATTTTTTAGAAGTCTCTGGAGCATAATTTTGGAAATTAAATACGAGATTTCGTTACCTGAGAATAACGGGCATTAGCGTTAGACAAAACCTTTATACAATGGTTTATAGCAATAGTAAACAGATTCTATTTTTAGGAGAATTGTTTTGATGATAGTTATGGCTAATGGTTACAATTGGCAGTTACAGCAGCACAATGAGAGGAAAACCATGAAGAAGATTAAGGCTTGACTTGAATTGTTTAATAAGGAACAAAATTCAAGCAAGCCTTAATTCCGTGTCAGCCTGAACCCAAGTAGTTACGTAAGAAGCACATTTGTCAGCAAAAAGAAAGATTTCTTACTGAGGGCCATCACAAGGAAAATCACAGAAAGAGTCCCAGTCAGCTTTAAGGTAGTCGTAAAAGGTACAATGATAGGAGGTTCTGATGATAAAGAATAATGAGATAATACTTTTAGAGAGATCAAACCGTGATCAGAAGCATCTAAGGGTAAATTTGGAGAAACTGAGTACTGACTAGGATCAGAAACAAGACATAGATCAAGTAAAGAATGTAAATGATTTGAATTTTCAGGAAAGCGAGTTAGAGTGAAGTTGACTCTTTGAGTTGATGTTAACAATGGGGTTCAAGCTTTAGATGCAGTAAAATAAGCTTTTTATTTTTAATCTAAAGCTATTGCGATTCTCAATAAAAAATTACACTGAGAATATACTTCAAGAGGCGCCAGCAAAAATTTTTGAACAGAATAAAAAGTTTGTAAACAAGGGTTCAAATGTTTTATTTTTAGCAATATTTAATGATTCGAGCACCAAATTTGATCTTTTTAAGTCAACGTTTTTACATATAATTTTTTATTATAGTAAAAATTATTTTTTCCCTATTTTTGTAAGCAAGCAAGAAAAGTTTGCGTTATATGTAGTGCCAATTGCAGAAGACCTAGTAAAGACACTTTACATATTGCTCAAAGACCTGGCGAAGACATGCCATTATAACAGTAAGTATCACACCATAATATACTTTTGTCGTTGACGTCTTTAGGATCCTTTAGGGCTAATCTCTTTGAAGTCTATTGAATAAATTGTTTCGGGTACGGGACTAAACCACAGAGGAAAATGATGCCTACAGCTTCGCTTTAGATTTAAAATTAAAATTTATTGAAAAACAGTTAAAAATATTTTCTAAATAATCAATAATAAAAAAAGTTTCAAACTACAAGCAGATAGTTTCTTTATATCATTTATGTTGGCTTTGAGGCAATTAACGTACCTATAGAATGCATTCAAGATAACGCAGAAAAAAGCTCAATTTGTCAGATATCAACACAGCTATTGTTAACCTTTTAGCTATTGTTATGTAAAAGTTTAAAGTG